TTCCTGATTTGTGGCTGGTAAATTGAGGCCGTGCCCAGGTTCTCCCCGGAGCTGGAGACTCTAGTATTTCCCCGGGGTGTGACCAGGGCCCTGCTGGTGGGGAGGGGGGTGGGGACCACCTCTGGCTGACTTGGTTCACTCTGGAGGCGGGTCAGCAAGGGACTTGAAGGGGCCAAGGTAGAAAGCCACTTGGCTCCCAGGTGCCTGATAAACACACCTGCGACCACTGGGGGGCGCTGGAGCCGACCCAAGGCTCCATCACCTGGGGGTGGAGGAAGCCGACCCCGATCCATATGTCAGGAGGGGTAGATCTTAAAGAGTCGTGAGTAAAGGGAAAAAAAACCTTGATATCTATAGAATAACAAGTGTGCACATTTAAAACACATGCAGATGTAAAATAACTATTTTTAGAAAGACAAATACGTTGCACTTAGGTGAGGTCCCTAGGATAGGCAAATTCGTAGAGACGGAAAGTAGAAGCCTGGTTGCCCCTGGCGGGGGGGGGGGGGGGGAGAGGAAATGGGGAGTTAGTGTTCACCGGGTAGTTTCCGTTGGGGATGATGAAACAGTTCTGGGGTGGCTGGTGGTGATGGTTGCACAACAATGTGAATGTACTTAATGCCACTGAACTCACTGAACTTACACTTAAAACGGTTAAGGTGGTATACTTTGTTATGTATATTTTACCACAATAAAAAAAAAGATACATATGGAAAGCCATACTATGGGCACTACGTGTAGAGGGTGGGGGATGGAGGGGTGGGAACAGGGATGGAGGGTAAAAGTGGACGGAATACCTTGCAGAGGCTGCTGCTAGCAGCGGGTCCCGTGAACCACCCTCACCAGCTGAGAGGCCCCTTGAGTGCTGTTTAGTATATTTCCTTTAAATTGACTGTTTTAAATAGCATAAGTAAATTCATCCAAAATGCCAAGTTTGGGCCGGCCCGGTGGCACAGTGGTTAAAAAGTGCGCGTGCTCCGCTGCGGCGGCCCTGGGTTCGCAGGTTCGGATCCCGGGTGTGCACGGATTCACTGCTTGTCAAGCCATGCTGTGGCGGCATCCCATATAAAGTGGAGGAAGATGGGCATGGATGTTAGCCTAGGGCCAGTCTTCCTCAAGGAAAAAAAGGGGAGGATTGGCATCGGATGTTAGCTCGGGGCTAGTCCTCCTCACAAAAAAAAAAAAAAGGCCAAGTTGGTCTTCCGAGGGCTCGTGGAGAACCGAGACATGCTTCCCTGACAAATGGCGCGTTCCCCCTTCCTCATCCCCCTTTAATATTCTCTCTGTGGCTGTGGATGGTGGTCTTCTGCACTGAAGAACTTATCTCTGCATATTGAAGATTAATTCCTTAAACTCCCTTCTACTCCTCTGCTGACATCATCTCAGAAACTGCTCATTAAATGAAACTGACTTTCTGCCCTTCTCTGGGCCGCACCCTCCCCCCGCCCCCGCCCCGCCCCGTGGCATCCCCCATTTTCTTGTTTTCTGCTTGGGGCCATCCAAGCACGAGCAGCATTAAATACAATTGTACTACTACTGAGTCCATCGTTTAAAAAGACCCGAGCCATCATTTTAAGTCAGCTGTCTGTGAAAACAAGACTTTTTGTTAGTGAGCTGAATGAGGGGACTTGGGAATGAGATGAGACCGGGAATGAAGGAGTGAGAAGGATGTCGTAGGGCGGGTACACCTGCTGTTTTTAAATATTATCTGTTTGTCATCTTGCCGTCCCCTCAAGGCAGAGAGGAGGATTTTTAATTCTGAAACATGGGGGGTCCCTGGATATCTGCTTTATTAGCACGCAGTATGAGTGCAAAATTAACCGTACACCAGCAATTGTTACTTATGTCAATGATGTAAATCTCCCATGATTTAGAATAGATCAAAACGTGTTAACTTTTTATAAGTATGCCACTGAAGTGAATAAAGCTGGCTCGTTTGAAGTTAAAAAAAATGCAAATGAAAATGGATCACTTGTAGTCTCCAAGTCCGAGGCCTGTTCACTGCTCAAAAGAGACCAGCGAAGTGGAAAGGAGTCAGAGGTACACGCGAAGCCGACTCTGTCCTTGGCACGATTAGGAGGCTTGAAGGAAATTGAAAAGAGAATAACTTTCCCTCCAGCTGTTGCTGATGTCTTTTAACCATGTCCGGACATCACCTATAAATCGTCTCTCGTTCCACGTGTGACGAGCGTCTCTCAGACTGGGGCGCTGCTGTGGGCGCTGAGCCCTGAGCTGGATGGGGGCCCGCTGTCTGCTGGCTGGGGGGAGCTGCAGGGTGGGAGGCTGGGACCCAGCCTGATGGTGAGAAGGCCCCAGACTGCCCTGCACACAGTGTTCCTGTGAGGTCTAGCAGCCTTGGTCCCTCAAGAGCTCCTGGACTCTGAGCCCTGTCTGCCTAGCAGTTTGGCTTGATAGAATTTCCACAGGCTTCAGAGTCGGACAGATCAGCATTAAATCACTTCCTGGCACGAGAGACCTGACCTTGTCAGTAGAATGGGTATGATAGTTGTTAGTGAGGATTAAATGAGGTCATGGGGATATGTAAGCCTCTGTCCAGAGCTGGCACATAGTAGGTGCACAGTAATGACCCTTGCTGTTATTTCACACCTCTTGGGCTTAGGGTCGCAGCAGATCATCAACCATCGTCATTGTGTTGGCTTTCAACCTCATAGTCACAGGATGGCTGCTGTAATGTAGACACTGCATCTGCATTAAAGGCAGGAAGGGGGAGGAAGGAATAGGACATGCCGTCTCTGTTAGTTTTATCCAAAACCAAAGCCTTCCCAGAAGTTCCCAGCAGACTTTTCATGGATCTGGTTGGCCAGCCCTGGTCAGTTGGCTGCCCATAGCTGCAAGGGAGGCTAGGAAAATCATGGAGGAAGAGGTTAGGCTTGTCATGACTTAACCAGGGCGTTTTTCGTTGTGTTGCCTGGAGTACAGTAGGAACTCCTTAAGTAGGGAAGATATGGGTAGTGGCTGATGGGAAAGCAGCCCACAGCGTCTGCCCCAGAACGGTTGTTTGATTCCTCCCGATGGTTTCCCACTGTTCTGCCAGCCTGCCACTGTAGTGTCAGATTGGGAGTGGGGAAGGAACCTGAGGCTGACTTAATTTTGCAAAGGAAGAAGGGTAGGTATAGGATGGAAGCTTCCAGAAGCAAACCTTGGAATCTTTTCCCCCACCCCCAAGCATTTGCATGCTCTGTTCCCTCTTTTAGAAACACTTTTCCTCCTGTTCTTTGGAACAACAAAGTCATCCTTCTTCACTCCTAGGCTTTCCTCTGAGAAGTTGCCCTGATCCCCCGAATCCAGGGAGGGCATGATTGGGACCACCAGGCAGGGAGAAAAGAAATAAAGTATGAGTTCAAGAGAGAGCCCAAGCCTGACTCAGATGGGGTGAGGAAACCAAGGAGGCTTCATGGAGGAGGTGGCTTTTATTAATTCATTTAACAAACATCTCATTGCTTGCTCTGTTCTAGGCCCTGTGATGGGCCTGGGGGAATCAGACTGGTGAATGGAAGGTCTCGGATGGTTAGACAAGCTGTCCTGTGCCAAGGGAGGCCTTTGTGGCTTTGGAGACTTTGATGGGTAGGGGCATCCAGACTCCCCAGAAATGCCCCTTCCCAGTCGCAGTGCCTGTCCTCTGTGCTGGATGCTGGGTGTGGGAATCGGGGCCAGAGAGGCTCACTGTCAGAAGTTTGGAGTCTGTCCCATGTGGAGCTGCTTCCACCTCATCGTGTGATCTCGTGGCCCCGTGCTCTCCCTCTGGCGCTGGGCTTTGGAGAAATCTAATCATTAAAATCCAGACGTTTCTCCAGATGGAAGGGGGTTTGTGACATCAGATGGCATTGGGTCGAGGTCATTATCTAGTCAGTGCAGAGGCTGAGAGGCCCCCGGGAGAGGCCCTGCGGTCGCAGGCATAAAGTGAAAGTGGCGAGCTCTGGTGACAGCTCTGTCAAAGGTGACAGCAGTAAACTCATGGAAAATTAGGTTTCCATTTACGAAAACCCCAGTTACTGTCACCTTTCAGCTGTGCACTCTTGCATAAAAACTGTCTCCTTGGGTTGTGTGCAGGTACCCGGGCCACTTATTTTAGACTATAAACTCCAAGTGGCTTTAACACCGATTTCTCTTACACTATTTTCCTGCTGAAATCAGAGCTGCTCCGGGGGCGGGTTGGAGGCAGGGGTCCGTTCCCCAGTTGTCTGAGCCCTGAGTCTGGCAGGAAAAGCACAGGGCAGAGACGGGGCCGCAGGGAGCTGGCTGTCGGAGCAGAGCTGGCTCCTGCGCCTTCCTGGAGCTTCCCCTGCCACTCCTCCTCCCTGCCAGATGATTCCTCTTCAGCCCCCCAGAGGCCCTGACTCTGGGTCAGAACTGACCTGGGCTGGAGCTGGGCTGCAGTGTGAACTTGCACCAGTAGGCGGGGCGGGAAGGCGCCGCCCCACCCTGCCTGCTCCGTGACCTCGGGTCGTGAGACCTTCCCTGGCACCCCCGGACCACTGTAGGGGGCCTCACCCCATGTCCTGCACGGTGTGGCCTCTTCTGATGACCCCGCGTCATTACAGTCTCCCCCCAGACTGTGAGCCCTGCTAGGGGGCAGATGTTCTGGCCTCTGTTTCCAGCACGTAACAGTGCTTGGCGCGCGTGGGACGTTTGGTAATTGTTGGATGAATAAAAGAAGGAACGATGGGTGAGATGGGAAGGACAGACGGAGATAAAGGGACATATCGTACCCCAGCAGAAGGTCCACTAAGTGTGAGGTATATTCTATAAAACGAATCTGTTCGGAAGTTACAAGATGACACCCCCACAGGACGGGGCCCGCCCTGACCCCCTGTGCGGGGAACCTGGCACCCAGGACGCCGGTAACGTACTCCCACATGCCTTTGGGGGAAGGTGACATTCACTGTGTCGTGTAGCTAGCAGTTCAGAGGCTTTCTACGTGGTGAAACCCGTCAGTTGCTTTTGAAATTGTCACAGCTTTGCTTCTTTCTATCTTTTAGAGTGAAACATCTTTCAATCTAATATCAGAAAAATGTGACATTCTCTCAATTCTCCGGGATCATCCTGAAAACAGGATTTACCAGAGGAAAATCCAGGTGAGGCAGGGGGCAGGGAGGAGAGGACCCTCGATTTAACGGGCTAGAGCTGGGAGCGGAGAAGACGGTGCCGTGTTGAAGGCACAAAAATGGCTTAGGGCTTGGACCAGGTTCCTGGGCAAGTTGAAGGGCTCCCCGAATGTTTTGATGTTAGGCATTTGCTTTAGTGAGAAATCCTTTAGATGCAAAAAAAAATAGCAATTTTTTTTAAAGCTAGGCACTAAGGGCTTTATTGACTCACAGACACCTCATTACAACACGGCAAGGTCGGTACTTTTATTACCCACATTTTATGCCTGAGGAAACCGAGGCGCGGAAATGAAATGGCAGGCCCACAGTCCTACAGCTGGTGCAGGGCCGAGCTGGGGTTTGGACCGGCAGCGTGATCCCGTGAGCTGCCTGTGTGACCACGCTGCCAGGGCGCCTCTCAGGAGGGAAGGCCGCTCCCGCTGGGCTCCGGAAAGGGGATTTTGCCGGCAGGAGGCAGGAGGAGCCTGGGCACGCCCCATCTCCGGGGCAGCACGCCTCTGCCTGTCTCTGCTCCTTGGCAGGACTGCCTGTCCCCCGTGGCTGCAGGGAGCACTTCCTGGGGCAGGAGCCGCGGCTGGGCGGCACAGTGACCCTCGTGTCCCCTGAGCCCTCTCGGGAGATGAGAGCAGGGTTTCCGAGGAGCACGTCCTTTCCTGCCTGCCTGGGCTGGGCCCGGTCAGCTACGAGCCTTTTGTTGCTGGTGGTGGGAGCGGGGACTCCCGACCCCGTGAAAACCAGGCTCTGCCGTCAAAACCCTGACTGTAACCCCATGAGGCAGCAGAGGGGACTCCAGGCCGTTTCAGAGGGAAATCGATAGCTAGGAGCCGAGCCTGAGGGCCGGTGTGGGGAGGGCCACGCCTTTTGAGAAACGTGTGAAGGACTGGCCAGACTGCGTGGTGGCGCCCCTTCCCAACTCTGCAGCCCCTGGCCCTCCGCCCAGCCACACCCCCTCACACGCCGCTTCTCCTCTCAGCACTGTTCCTCCAGGAAGCCTTCCCGGGCTTCTGAAGCCTGGTGTGAACATCCTTGCTCCGCGGCACCACAGCTTCCCCGTCCTCCTGTCCCCGTCGCCCCACTGTCTATCTGCCCCCCAGACTGTAGGCTGCTTGAGGGCAGGGCCGTGGTCCCATCACCACTGACCCTCAGTGCCGGACACACAGGTCACACTCGGCGTATTTTTATTTTTGTGGGACAAATGAGAGTCGGGAGACTGTGAAGGGGCAGCCAGTCTGAGAGGAGGGAGGAGTGTTACCTGGGGGAGGTGGGCCCGGCCCTGACAGGACACGACACGACACAGAGGGGGCGTTGCTGTCACAGACGTCCACGTTCCCTTCTCTCCCCCGCAGGAACTCAGCAAAAGGTTCACTGCCATCCGCAAGACCAAGGGGGACGGGAACTGCTTCTACCGGGCCCTGGGCTACGCCTACCTGGAGTCGCTGCTGGGGAAGAGCAGAGAGATCCTCAGGTGAGTGGGGCTGCGGGCCGAGGGCCGCCGGGCGGACTCCCTGGCTCCGAGGCTGTGTTCTCTGCTGCGGTGGCCCTGGCTCTCCCTGGGGTCTTTCCTCGGCATGGCCTGCCTAACTGGGGGAGGGGGCTGGAGAGCTGCCCGGCCGCGGCACTGATGTGGGGGATGCCAGCTGCCTGCTGTGGTGGAGTTGGGGGCAGCCAAGGGGCCGGGGATGGAACCAGTGCCCTTCCAGGCTTTCCAGCCCCCTGGTCTGCGTTAGCCTGGGCGGGGCACAGTGGGTGCATTCTTGAAGACTCGCTCCAAAAAGAAAACAGACGAAGGAAGAAGCTCTGCCCGCTTGTTCTGAGTCATTTCAGCCGGCCTTGGTCATTTCAGCCGGCCTTGGTCATTTCAGCCGGCCTTGGTTTTGAGTGTGAGTAACCCAGGTGTGTGCCTGGTCAGGCCTGGATCTCAGGGTCAGTGCCGGAGGAGATCTCGTCCAGCAGCTGCTCCCCATGGCGATCCTCCATTAGGCCTTCGTGTTTTGGCTTGGTTCAGGGTTTCTCGTACTTTACCATTTGTACAAAGCATCTGGGATCTTGTTAAGATGCACATTCCGACTCAGTCGGTCTAGGCGGGGCCTGAGATTCTGCATTTCTCTCAAGCTCCCAGGAGATGCCCCCACTGCTGCTGGGCCTCAGCACACACTTTGAGTAGCAGGGAGCTGAGAGACCTGCTTCTTAACTTGGGGGTCTCACAGCCCTTAGAGGATTTGATGAAGGCCACGGGCTTCCTCGTCAGAGACACACGCCCCACGCACACTCCGAGAACGGTGCAGAGTGGCCACGGGTCACAGGGCACTTGGGGTTGATCATGGTCCCTGGGCCAGAAACCCTTTGCCAAGGCAGATTTCTCAACAGCAGCGCTGCTGACCTTCTGGGCTGCGTCTTCTCGTTGGGGGGCTGTCCTGTGCATTGCAGGTGTTTAGCAGCATCCCTGCCTCCACTCCCTAGATGCCAGTAGCACCCCTCCCCAAGTCATGACCGTCAAAAGTGTCTCCAGACACTGCCAAGTGTCTCCTTGGGGTAAAAACGTCAGCCCTGCTTGAGAACCGCTAGGTGGGGGCCATCATCTCCTCTCAAAATTAGCCTCCCTCAGAGCGGGTAGAGATTATGCCACCTGTTCCTGATTTTGAATGAGCCATTTGTATCATTTCCTGAGTGACAAACTGGCTGAGCCCCTTTTGACCGAGACTCAGTATCTCAAGTCACTCTCCTCCCCACAGCCCTTGGGGATCGAGACAGTACGGTGCAGTTGCCCGCCACCGTTGTCCCCCAGAGTTGTGCCACACAGAGGCCCTGGGCTCTGAGGTCAGACCTCACTCTCTTGCTTATTTGCTGTGTGACCTTGGGCAAGTGACTAGACCTCTCTGAGCCTCAGTTTCCACGTCTGTGGAAGGTGGATAATTTTGCATGGCTCAGGGGGTTGTCATGCGGACTCAGCAACGTGATGCTAGCAAAGCCCAGACCCTGTCTCTGTACCAGCCCAGCAAGCTCTGTTCTCACCTTCACCCCTACCCTCCGTCCCTCCATCCAGCCCTCACCCAGCCCGGTGCCACACGCAGACCATGTTGTAGGCCCTGAGGATGCAGCAGTGAACAAGAGACAAATCTCCGCCCGGGGAGCCTGCATCCTGACGGGAGAAATGGACAGGACATATGAACAGTGTTTGATGTGCCCGATGGTACCAAGTGTTGTGGGGAACAACCAGGCAGGGCGGAGGCCAGGCTGTGCAGGGGTCGGGGGGGTGCGGTTTTAAGTAAGGGCTGGAGAGGTAAGGGGGCAGGTCATGTAGGGCCTCGTAGGCCTTTATAGGGACCTTGAATTTCATCCCGAATGAGATGGAGCCACAGAGGGTGTGAGCAGAGCAAGGGGCCTGACCTGCTGGCTGCCGCGTGGGGGATGGGCCGGGCGGGAGCAGCAGGGACGCGCTCGGAAGGGACCCAGGGGAGAGAAACCATGATGGCGGCCTGAGCAGGTGGAGGGACGTGGTCGGATTCCAGACACCTGGGGCGGTGGCGTGGACAGGATTGGCACGCTCGGGTGTGGTGCGCGGTGCACGAGTGTGAGCAAGAGAGGAGGCCAGGATGACTGCCGGGTGTTGGCCCGAGTTCTCAGGACGGAGAAGCCACTCGCTGCAGAGCGGGGCAGGGAAGATCGGGAGCTCCATTTGGCGATGCTGAGTCTGAAATGTCTGGGAGCACCCGAGCGGGGGTGTCTGGTGGGCATGGGATGTACGAGGCTGGTGTTACCCCCATTTTACAGTTGGGCAAACTGAGCCCGGAGAAGGTTATACGACCTGCCCGAGGTCGCACTAAAACTGGTGTGCAGCCGAGAGAGCCTGCGCTCCGAGTCCTGATGCCGCCCTCCTTCCCTCCCTCGCCTCGTGGGGTGTGAGTCCTGGGTGTTTGCCCCCACTTGGCTGGGCCTGTGGTCACTCTTTCTGTGTCCCCGGTGCCGGGCACAGCGGGGTCAGCAGTCACTGGGGAGGAGTGAATGTGGGAATGCGGTGGAGGTTCAGGGGCGGGTGGCGGGGGAGGAAGAGGGGTAGGGCAGGAGAGCCAGGGGCAGAGCTGTGCACATCACAGCCTCACACGGAGAAAGTGAGCAGAGGGGCCCTCACGGCACCCCCATGGAGGTGTGTTACCATCACCCACACTGCGTGGACGGGGGCCAGCGGCCCAAAGCCGGAAACGAATTAACAGCAGGGCTGCGACTCCCAGCACAGTGCTCATTCCCACACCTGCCCTAGCCAGGTCGGACTGAGATACAGCTGGGCCCAGCCAGAGGGCAGGTTGCCCTCCAGCAAAAAACGCCCCACCTTCTGGTTTAGGAGATGTTTCCACTCCACAGACCCTCCCTGTCCACCTCTCTGTCTTCCACAAGGTCTCTAAGCCTCTTCAGGCCTCTCGTGGGGCCATAGTCCCTTGTGAAAACCCCCTCGTGTGTCCTTGGAGTCTGGTCTCCCTTCCCTGGGGAGGGGCTGCAGTTCTGCCCATGCTGGTTGGTCCCCCAGAGCCTCTCCATCTGGTCCTTCTCGTGTGGGTGCATCCCTCCCTCCATGGACCAGTCACTTGGTCTGTGTCTGGTCTCTGCTCCTAAATTGTGCCCTGGGGCCGGGGGCCGCGTGGGGCTCCTCACTGTGCCCCCTAAGAGTACCAGGACACGCCCCAGAATGGGGCCGTGCCATTAGGGGGCCTGCAGTGGGCGCAGAGAGGGGCGATCCAGCACTGACCAGGCAAGGGCACTGGACGAGGTCTTGAAGGGTGTCAGTGCCAGCAAAGGTTTAACGGCCGCGGGGTGGGAGGCCTGGTGTGTGGTGTTAGCCGATTTCTGTGAGATAAATACTCCCGTCGTGACTGATTTTCAAGCTACATCCTGGGGTCACTGAGCAGGGAGCTGGGAACAGACACAACACACGCTGTAGTCCAGATTGTATTTCCTCCATCCACACACAGTAGACACAGATAATCTCAAGAGCGTGGATACAAGTAATTAGGAAATGATGAGTTTTGAATATTCATTATCTTTGTTTTTAGTAAATTTATGTAGTTGTAAATTTACATAACTTGTTTTTTAAATAATGGCTGTGTCGAACACCTGGCTGGCAAAATTCTTGAGAATTTAACAATTAAGTAGCTCTTGTGAGCGGGTACAGACTGGCACCAGCACACTACAGAGAAGAGCATCCCTGGCCGAGGGGATGTTGGGTGCTAATGGATGGAATGGCTGTGGGGCAGGAGGGGGCTGTGAGACTGGACTAGAGATGAGGTTGGTGAGCTCAGCAGGGACCCCCGCCCCGGGCGTCTGTGCTGAGGAGCTGTATCCTGAGAAAGAAGGCTGTGGTAGGTCACTCCGGACGACCCTGTGGAGAAGGGACCAGAAGCGAGGGCAGGCCAGAACCCTGGGGACAGGAAGGAGGGACAGAGTCAAGAGACCTTTGAAAGTCAGAATCAACATGTCTGGGAGTGGGTGGTGATTACCTCTATTTCCTCGTTTGTGAAATGGGTGTAATACCCGCCTGCTGGGATTATACACCATAGGGAGGACAGAACAAGTCAGGTGTGGTCCAGGCGGCAGTGCTTTGAAAGGTAGGAAAGTCCTTCACCTGTTAGTGACACCCACTGTCTCAGGTGTGTAGAGGGCAGTGGGTGAGAGTGGGGTGAGAGTTGACAGTCGCTGCGGCGCCCCCTGTATTTCCCTGGAAGCCTCAGTCTACTCTCTTTAGGTTCAAAGAGTGTGTACTGCAGACCCCAAATGACCTTCTGGCTGCTGGCTTTGAGGAGCACAAGTTCCGAAACTTCTTTAACGCTGTGAGTTGGCCGGGGCACGATGGCTGAGGGATGGACCAGGTCCTTTGCTGCTGGCAGGGCGGACAGGAGTGGGCGCTGGCCGGAGCCCCCTCCCAGCCTGCTGCTCTGGGGTTGTGCCCCTCTTGCTCCCTCCAGCTGCGGAAGGACTGAGGGTTGCTTCCTGCTTGTGGGGACCTGAGGGCACAGGGAGCCCAGGGCCCTGCCCTCCCTCTGGGAGGAGGCACCTCCTTTGGGGCAGCAGCTCTCAGGCTGGGAACTTCCCCAGCCTCCTTCCCCCCTTCCCTCTCCACCCCTGTCCCCTGGATCCCATTAGTGAAGGGGGTGGGGTTGGAGGACGCTCAGTTCTAAATCTGTAAGAATCGCAGCCACGCCAGTGAGGGAGGGAGGCCCCAGCTGCGTTTCCCTAGACAGGACTCCGGGCTGAGGTACTCATTACAGAGTACTTCTAACCCTGTTCCTTAGCTTTGGTGGGTGGCAGATTGATAGATTCTGGTGTCTCGACTTGAGGATTTAAAAGTGAGCGTGCATGTGGCGGGACTCCTGTGGCGGGCGGGCGGGTCTGGCCTACGCCTGGCCTGGCTGACGCCGGTGGCCCAGTTTTACAGTGTGGTGGAGCTGGTGGAGAAGGACGGCTCGGTGTCCAGCCTGCTGAAGGTGTTCAACGACCAGAGCTCCTCGGACCGAATCGTGCAGTTCTTGCGTCTGCTCGCCTCGGCCTTCATCAGGAACCGTGCAGACTTCTTCCGCCACTTCATCGACGAGGAGATGGACCTCAAAGACTTCTGCGCTCACGTAGGTCCTCGGGGTCTGAGGTTTTGGGGACTCAGCCCCAGTCCAGGGCTCTGTTCTCATCCCTCTCTCCTTAGGAGACTTGAGCACCAGCAACCCCAGCGGGGGGCACTTGGGTGTCGTGTCCGCATTTGCAATTCAAAGAGCACTAGATTAGCAAGCCAGAAACAGATCCTCCTGCAGCTGCCTGAACTGTGTGGCTTTGGGCAAGTCTGTTTCCCTCTCTGGGCCTCAGATTTCCCATCTGAGAAATAAGGGCTTTGGACTGGACTGTTGACAGAATTGCAGAGAAGCAGCCCGGGAGTCACATCTGCCTCAGACGTGTTTTGTGTATGATGTATGGTATTTACCCGGAAGAGCTGCCAACGTTTACACTTTGGGCAATTCGCATGTGAATGTCTGGATTTCTCTGGAACAGTCAGAAGATCCAGCTCCCCAGGCCTTATACCTGCAGGGCAACGATCAGCAGGAGCTAAGTGGCGGCTGCCCTAGTTGGATGGGACACACTTGTCAGCTTGCCACCATCGCTGTCTCTTCAGCATCCTGCCTCACTCACTCACTCGCCTGGCCCCCTGTACGCACTGAAGCTGGAAATCCCTTGATGACTGAGTCCCTTTCTGTTTGGAGATTCTTGGATTATGTGTATTAGGAAGCCCAAGCTGAAAAATTCCTGCCCCACTTTCCAGACTCCTCAAAGTAGTGTCTTCTTCTTAGATATAGCTAAAGGATCTGGAATCAGTAAGATCTAGATTTAAGCCTTGCAGTTCTAGCGATTTCCAGCTGTTCCTTCCTTACTGCACCCCACTTCCTCCTCTGTAGTGGGTTGTTGTGAGGCTCTGACCTGGGACCCTGGAAGCCAGGGTTGGCCGTCTCACTTGTCCTCTGCCAGGCCTCCTTCCTAAACTGGGTCTGTTTTTTCACTTTGGCCTTTGCAGGAAGTGGAGCCCATGGCCATGGAGTGCGACCACATCCAGATCACAGCCCTGTCGCAGGCACTGAACATCGCCCTGCAGGTGGAGTACGTGGACGAGATGGACACGGCCCTGAACCACCACGTGTTCCCCGAGGCGGCCATCCCTTCCGTTTACCTGCTCTATAAAACATCCCACTACAACATCCTTTATGCAGCCGATAAACGTTGATTAATTTTAGGCCATGCAGTGGAGCCTGTCACCTAACGAGACTGCATCCTGAACGGACCATTCCGGCTTTTCAATTTTTTAAGCGATTTAGACTGTAGTTAAAAAAATGTACAGCCTTTTGGGCAAAGTCACTGGAAATGAGGCCTACCCATTATGGACTGTGGTAACTTGGCGATATTTTTAGTATTTATTTTCATGGAGGATCAAATGCTTTCTAACTCGGGACTAGGTAGTCAGGACCCCTGGCTCTGCTCCCCGTTCCCTGTGACCTTGGGTAGGTCACCTCTCCTCTCTGGGCCTGTTTCTTCATCTGGAGGAGGTTCCTGCCAGTGTTGACACTCTATTGTATAACAGTGAGGTCCTCTGGTTTCTTTTCACAGGGGCAGTGCCTCTGTAGGGGAGGAAAAGCTCAAGGTCAACTGTCTTGGACTGAGCAGCGCTATAAAACAGAATCAAGTCCAGGCAGCTGTTGGACTGGACTCTGGGGGATGCAGACTGAAGCGTGGGCCAGTTGAGACCCACTTGAATGTGAGGGCTTCAGTGTGGTTCCAAAGATTCACGATGGGAGTGTTTTCTTACCCTTAACTTGAGGAAAAAGGCTTTTATGCCAAAGTCTGGAAAGGGGCCTTCAGCCTTCAGCATGAAGCTCAAGTTGTTGGGGCTCCCTCTACCTCTCTCAGGGCCAGGACTGCCTGCCTTTTGGAGGGCAGGCCCTTCAGGGTTCTGCCACCAGCCCCACCTGGACAGAGGCTCGAGAAGGACTAGGAAGGACCAGGACTAGAAGGACCAGGAAGCTCTTAATCTCCAACACTTCCTGGAAGTAGAATTTAGATATTCAGCCATAGACTCCAGCTGAGCAAAGCAGACAAGTTTTGCATGGCTGTCTTCAGCTTCTTTCCCCTTCTGCTGGGTTTCTGGCCGGTGAGAGGTTAGGTGGGAAAGAATAGACGCAAGCCGAGGAAATTGGCAGTGGGGGAGATTTCCGTTGTGGAAACTGCCTGGTGGCCAAGAGCCCTGGCTGGCAGCTTTCGTGCATCCACCTGGGCATGCCCCTTCATACCCTCCTCACCTTGCTGCCTCAGGACCTCGGGGCCCTGGTTGGGCCAGGGCACTGCTAGCAAGCTCTCTCCCTCTGCGGGAGGAAATGGAGAATGCAGGGGTGAGGAGTTGCCCTTTAGGGTACTTCCTTAATTGAAGGCCTTCTTGTCATCACAGTTCCATTCTGCAGGGACTTATTAGAATCTGTTGGTGTTGCAACGTGAGTCTGCCGACAGCCAGACTGTGCACGGGGAGGACTGGGTGCAGATTGCTCTGAGTCCTTGTACACAAACACTGGATTTGTATCCCTCTTCTGCCTTTGTGAAGACAGATGTCAGGGTGCTCTAATTCCAGGCAGGGACCCAGGTTCCCATACTGCCCTCAGCTGGAATTTGGACCCAAGGGATCAAGCTAAGTGATTGTCACTTTTCCACAGGAATGTCAACCTGACCCTGATCTCTGAATTGGTTCAGTGTCCCTGCTCAGGGTAGGAGTGCTGGGGTTGTGACAAGTGCACTGGAAGAGTGGGAGGACCATGTTAACGTCGTTTGTGAATATCACGATCTCCATTTCCAAACTGAAGGGCGTGAACACAGCGCCGGGCTAACCAGAACATGGGTCCTGGGCCTCCGGCAGGGCTCTCGAGCACAATATCAGCAGCACTGGCTGCCACCACACTACATTTGTGGCTTGTGTGGTGTTCACAAAAGCAGAGCTTTCTCTTGGGCAGACTGGCTGGAGAAATTCCCTGAGACTTGCCTGTGCTGTGCGTCCAGGCCTGAGAGCCCACCCGTGCTCACATGGGACCCTCTTCCCAGGAGAGGTCCTATCAGTTTAGCATCAGGGTGCCCAAGAGAGGCAAGCCAAGTTATTTTCGTGGTCTTACCCTCTGCTTTCCCTTTTCACAAAGCCATTGGCCAAATCCAAACCATCACTCTCTTCCCTTCACACCTGCCCTCAGATCTTGCCTCTGAGGGAGAGCACTGTGGAGAAAAAGGAGTGGCAGAATCAGTGCAATTAACTTGTTAAAATCCAGTCATCTGTGGAAGTCACCTTGCTTGTCTATAGCAACTGGTGGTGCTGGCAATCACACTTCCTGGATAATTCTCCCCCCCACCCCCAGCCATCTCTTTCTAGACCAAAAGCTGGAAGGAAAGTTGCTTTGAGAGTTTGTCTTTATAACTGCACATTTGTTACTTTCTTTCCAAAGGAAACTTTATAAATCAATGGGAATATTTAGCAACGAAAAGACCAAACTGTCGTTACTTTTGACTGGGTTGTATTTTAAGCACCAAGGGCTCTGGAGCCACACTGCCTGGGTTTGAATCTCAACTTTGTCACTTACTAGCTATGTGACCTTAGCCAAGTCACTTCATCTCTCTGAGCCCCAATTCCCATATTAGTGAAATGGAGACAGTACCTATGCGTCACAGGATTATGGGTTAAAGTGGAATGGGACTGTGTGTGTGAAAACAGCTGCGAGACCTGACACACAGTGCTCAGAAATGGGTTGCTCCCCACCCTACCCTTCCCAATGGGGAGCAGAACACTGCCAGATGGGGAACATCCCACCTTGGCAGTGGCGCTGTGGCTTCCGAAACAGAAGTTTGGGAACCATTAGACCAGTCTAAGAACCATCCCAAACACATTCCCACACTGAGCAGAAATGGGGGCGTGGGCTATGGCTCAGTGAGTGGCTGCCCAGGGGCCCCAGGTCCTGTGGGAGGTGGGCCAGGCCCTACAGCTCCCCTGGACAGTGGGTGAAAACATTTTCCTAGCATTAAAATGGTTTCCATAGCAATTGTTTTCCTGGCTTCTTAGTATTTGGTACCTGGCATGCACCGAACATCAACACTACTCTCCCATGGGGCCCATGTGTGTGAGGGAGTGGATTTGTGGGGGAGGTGAGGGTGCTTCTTGTTTAGCAGAAGATCCAGACGCTCAGGAAGTTCTGCCCTCGGGCTGGAGGCACCAAAGGAACCACAGGCCTCACCAAAGCTTTACCTCATCAGGTCAGAGAGAACTGCCTGCGAGGCTGGCCTTATCTTTTAAAACCTACCCTCTTAACACATTACCCCACCAAAAATAGAGGGCAAGGGCAAGATGTCACCAGACATCAGTGGATGTGTTTGGCCTGTGACAAGTGGCCTCATGCCTCTCATGGCTCAGATACTAAGGGACCTTGAGCCTGCTTAAAGCTCCACTGCATCATTTGGGAAATGGAGAGTCCCCCTGCCATCCTCTGATAGCTGTCACTCAGGCGCTGACCTCACAGACGAGGGCTGTTCTCTTCTGCATTCTCCTTTCCAGGTCACTGGTGACACTGGGGTGACTTTCCTTGGCAACACTGCTGTCTTTTAAGACCAAAGCAGTTTTCTGAACTTGCCCTGGGCCCAAAGGAAATACCCAGGGTTCTAATCCCAGCTCTGCCACTTGGCTTTGTGTGATCCTAAACAAGTCTTAACCACTGTCAGCTTTCTCAACTATAAAAAGGTACTAAGGTTTATGTCTTAGGGCCTTCATGGAAACGAAATAATTAAAGTGCCTGACAGTGCCTGGGACTTGGTCAACACTCAGTGATACCTGAATCTGAGTTTAGGCAAACTCTCCTCTTGCTGAGAGAATACTGCTGCTATCCCGCCAACCTTGCCAACCGTGAGGCTGAAGGAACATCTGTTTAGAAGTCCAGATTTAGCTGTGCAGATATCTGTGCTTCTCCCATGACTGTGGCAATTGTAGCTACTCACCCCGACCAACCCAGAGACAGCTGGGCTGACACCAGGAGGTCACTGGTTCCCTCAGCACATATGTACACCATGCCCTCACCTAAGCCCAAAGGCTGCAAGGGATAATAAAGCAGCCTCTGCTCTCATGGATCTCAGCAAAGGTAATACAGTGTGCCAAGTGCTGTGAAGAGGGTAAGCATGGGCACTACAGGAGCCCAGAGGAGGAACACTTCACTCTCCTGGGGGTTCAGGGACCTAGAGAACATGCAGCAGTGCTCTAGGATTGGAAAGGCAATCAGGCCAAGGGGAAAGCTTGAGCAAAGGCTCAGGACAAGAGGGCACATGGGACTGGGACTGTGAGCAGCAACCAGTTCTATCACACAGAGGAGGGGAGAGGAGAAACGAGGCTGGAGAAATTGGCTAGGGCCAGATTCTAATTCCCCCCCACGCCAGACTTGGCATACTGGCTTCCCCACAAGCGGTTCTGTGGTGTTAAGGAAGCTTGTGTTCTTTTGGAACCCAAGGATGGCAACCCTTCCCTGCCCACCTCCCAGGGTGGCTCAGCAAGACAATAGCTGTGAGCAAGTGATAGAGAGATGAGGAGCTGTTAGGATTCCGCTGTGGGGAAAAGCAGAACACAGGCTGAGGATCCAGGCAGAGACGATTTTATAGTCATCTGCACAACTCTCAGGCCTCATGCTCCATCCACACTGTCCAGCGGGGTGAGACACTCCACGTGTATCCTGCAGCCAGAGGACTATGACAGTGTCCCCCATATTCTGGTTAAAAACTCAGAATGACATGCTGGTTCTGACTATTGTTTTTAATTCTGGAAATCAAGTTGAACATACAAGAAGCCTGTAAACACTGAAACAGAGAAATATGTAAGCTGCTGCACAGAATTCTTACTCCAAAACAACACAAATCTGCATGAGGTCTCTCCCGCTATGGGGGTGGCACGGAAGAGAGGGAAATTTTTATAACTGGAGTTGAGAGTGGAGTGAAGTGAAAGGTGGGAAGGTTTTCCATATAACGAGAGAACACAGACACGACGTGCGGTCACCAAGACCCTGACCTGGGGGCAGTTAACTTGCACTTGTACTTGGCTGCAGCTGTCTCTGCTGCTGCTCTTTTGGCTGCTGCTTCTTCCTCTTCTGTTTGGAGAGGCAGCTCAAAGCAGACTCAGCATTTCTCGGAGCAGACACGAGCACGGGCAGCCTGCCAGACTGAGTTGGATATTTGGTTTTCAGGCCATCTTGAAACAACGGCTGGGAGAGTAAATGGCGCAGCTCCTTCTTCAGGACCTTCATCTGCTTTTGCCTCCGACGTTCTTCTTGCTGGTCAGCTTTTCCTCCTTGAAACACAATACAAAATAGATCATATTGACTGAGATTTGTAGAAGCATTTTGTTTCCCTTGGTGGATAATACTTGTGATGAAAAATATTCTGGAAGTCTTTTGGGGAGGCAGGGCTCAAACGTTCTCTGCGGAAGCCAGTGTTGCCTAACTTATAACACAATTTAGGAGGGATACTCAGGGATACTCTGTCCTTTACTCCTCACAAAAACCCTCTAAGACAGGAATTATCTTCATTTTACAGTTGAGGAAACTCAGGTCACTTCCTGAAGGTCACAGAGCTAGCTGTCAAACTGAGATCAGAACCCAAGCCTCCTGACCTGAAGATCAGTTTTCTTTTTACGACCCACCCACTTGTTGCCTGGGGTTTGCTGACTCGATAGCTACAAACCCCTCAGGAGACAGTGAACACAGTCTACGCAGCCCAGCTCTCCACCTGTGGAGGTGGGCACAGCCAAAGGGCTCCATGCCAGCCTGTCCTCAGGAAGGGAAGCTAGGGCCTTGTGCATGCACAGCCCAAGCCCCAAGCCCCAAGCTCGAGCTACCAGGAGGATCACCTCACAGTCATCAGTTCCACTGGTTTGGTTCCTAGCTTCCATGCTAGGCAGACACCAGTAAGTCTGCCTGTGAATTTGTTGGCTTTGGCACTAGACACCAACACCTCAGCTGCGCTGCCCTCTTGTGGGGTAGAAAGAGCACTGGACCTGACTCTGGGGTTGTCAGTTCTAGATATGGTTCTACCACTTCTCAGACTCAGGAGCTTTCCTGGAGCAGGGACCACACAGATTCATCCCTGAATCCTTAGCCTCTGGCCCAGGTCAGAGCAGGGGCTCAGGAAATGCCTGGTGGTGGTGGTGTTTAACCACACAAATCACTTCTCCTCTATGAGCCTCCAGTTCCCATATGTAAAAGGATAATGATTCCTGCCCTGCTTGTCATGAGACAGCGGAGAAGATCAGATGAGATGATGACCAAACTGCTTTGTCAGCTTGGAAGGCAGGTTAACATAACGATAATGAAAACAAATAGTAACCTGAAATGTATCACATACTTTCTATTTGCCAGGCACTGTTGTAAGCACTTGACACTCAATTCAAGCCATCTTCGCGTTAACAATTCCATGAGATAGGTTCTTTATGACCTGTGCTTTATAAGTGAGGACAGCCTGGGTACCACAGAGAGGTTAAGGAACTTGACCTGGTCACAAAGCCAGGTAAGGGAATGGGCCAGCACTCACACACGGGCAGTCTGGCTGCAGAGCAGGCCCCCGACATCACGGTACTCCACTGCCTCTCCACATGAGGGAGGCAGCTGAGGGGTCCAAACAGGAGAGAGGGAACAAAGGCCAAGGGCTTTAGGCTGATCTGGGACCAGGGCCTGTCACAAAGAAGAAAAAGGCATCTTGCTGATTTTGTCGGGACTCATGGTAGTGGGGAGGTTCCAACAAAACAAAAGTTGCAGGGAAAAACAAAGAAAAGAAAGAAGCTGAATGTACCCTTGCTCAAGTCCCATCCAGCCCACTCACCCTTATACATCTCTTCTTCCAGCTCAATCTCAAGGGCAGCTGCTGCCTGCTCAATCCAAGAGTTGTGTAGACAAGCCTGGAAGTTCCGATACTCGGCTTTCTCAATCTGTCGAGCTAAATGGATCCGCTCCTGGGGGAAAGGAACAGGAAGTGTTCATCTGACAGAAGGTTCAGGCCTCTGGGAAGCAACGTCTAATTTAAGCTGTATTTTAGAAAAGCTTTTGAGATCAGTGTTCAGTGAGAGGCAGCTCAGCTCCCATCAAAACGCATCTCTCCTGGTTCCTGATAAAAGCACAGAGGGCAATCATTACACCTGAGTGTGTACAACTGCAATCACAAGAGCCGGCTTTCCAAACAACAAACCTGAACAGCCTCACCCCTTGGAAGCCCACCTCAGTTGGACTGACAATCTATAGGTGTCCAAAGGGAATGCTTCTCCCCAGATACCACAGCTGGCTTCCACAGCTGAGCCGGGACCCTGAAACACCCCAACAGTGCTGAATTAGGGCCCAGTTCTCAATCCCAGGGACAACAAACTCAGAGAACTGCCTTCCCTCTCTTCCATGTCAGATCTTGTGATGTGGGGGAAAGGAGTCACGGGAAGCCAGGGTGGCTCCTAATCCTTACTATGATTCTCTGTAATCTCCACCTTTCCATCCTCATCTCCCACCATATTTCCCCACATGGCTAACTTTCTCTCAAGCCAGAAGAACCAACAGTCCTTGTTCCACGCTTTTGCTCCCTCAACTCCTGGAATTCCACCTCCTTTTCACCTCTCCACATCTCTGCCTGCAGGAGGCACAGAGGAACCCTCACCTCCTACCTATATAACCACAGGCCCACCAGTCCTACAGTGCTCCATAAAGTCCTCACTTTAGCATGGCTCGGCCTGCCTCACGAGCCAGTGGATCTCTATGGAGAAGAACCCGTCCTGCTCTGGTACCTGACACTCTGTTGCCCATAGTAAGCAGCACTGCTCAGTGAATGCCTATTGAGTTAAAATAAAACCCCAAAGGTAGGAGTTACCAGCATCTGCTAGAGATGCGACAAACCTTTAGTATCTGCCTCAGCAAGTCATATTGAGCTCACTTCCCTACAAGCATCCAATGGGATGTCCAGGCAGCTGTGCTTACTGCCCTTGTCCAATGGAGGGGAGTGGTGGTGGACGCTTCAGCGGCAGACAGTGAAGAAAGGGTGCAGGAAGAAAATTCCTCACACTTTTGGCCACTCATCCTTTCTCCCTTCTGTCTGGTAAAATGCCATTCCTTTTTTTACAAATTGCCCTGTTTAGCTGTTGGCAGAACCATTACTTAGTTTCCAAGAGTTATACCACCAGAGTCTCACAGCAAGGTGAGGGAGGAGCACGATCCCTCCCTCATCAGCACTGGGCTTTTAACTTATCTTTTTACCTTGACTGCGTCCATGTACTTTGTCTGCACAGGGAACAGTGGGATGTCCTCATCTTTCTTGAGGGTTTTATAAATTTTCTTAAAGTTGATCACGTCCTCAGGCCCAATCAACATCAGGCTGAGGCCTTCGCTGGTAGCACGAGCAGTTCGACCACTTCGGTGGACATAAATCTCCGAGGTGCGAGGAACCTGCCAGAGGAGGAACTGGGAGGTCAACACATGGCCATCACCAAACACTGCTCTTCCCCTCAGGGCAAGCAATCCAATACTGAACCTTCCTCCGTCCTAGCCAGGCACCTAGAAACCTCTCCAGCATTGTGGACAGATCCAGCCCTTCTCCCTTAGTCCCACATTCAAAGTGTCCCCAGGTTTTGCCTGTTCACTGTGCAGGCTGTGCCCTCCCATGCCCCCTGCGCCGGTTGAGGCCCTCATGACCACTCAACTGGACATGGGCAGTCACTTCTTATTTGGCCTCTAGTCCTCCCCACTCCATCTGACCCAGCCCAGGCTGTCAGTGTCATCTCCCTGAGTCACAGCTCTGACCATAATACCCACTCTAACTAAAGAAACTCCACTGGTTCTCCATTAACTCTGCACGGATGACTGATGATGGTAGTCATAACCAACATTTACTGAGTGATTACAAGGTATCAGGCAATTCTAAGCACTCTGCACGTATTATCCCACGTATTCCTCACAATAATAACATGAAATAGATGCTTTTATGATTAGCCATATTATACACCAGGAAACTGAAAACCACACATTAAGCAGTGCTCCCTAAGTTATCCAATTAAGTGGTGGAGCCGGGATTTGAACTGAAGCCAGTACAGCTCAAAGACCATGCTAATCCCTCGACCACACTGCCTCTACTCCAATATATATTGGAAATATTATCCACAGAGAGGGTAGCATGGGGGCTGACAATCCCTGCCTCCCCTACTCCCCTGGCACACACCACTAATCAAGGAGTCTTCTCCACTGAGCCCAGATAACACTCATGTCTTCCAATGCAGTGCTCTGAGCACAACGATCTGCTCATAATGGTGCTAGAAATGAGATCTATTTGCCTTTCTTCACATTCCTCTCCCAACATACCCCCTCTTCTCACTCTCAGCCAACTGCCCACTTCCACATGTTCTTTACTCATTCCTTGCCTACCCTACATGCGCAAGTCCTCTCCATCCTTAAATGCCAAGCATCTTCAGAAAGCACTTTCCAACCTCCCAAACGAGAAGTTACCTCTCTCTCCCATTATATTTTGTAACTTCCTGATATCTTCTGTCTTAAATTATGGCTGTGGTCGTCTCATCTCCTCTAGCGGATTTGATACTTCTTAGGGGCTAGGACTATATTTTGTCCATCTGGATATCTCCCATAAAAACTGACCCAGCCTCATCCTCAAAAAGAGGAAGAATAAAGATTTGCTAAACTGAACTGGCACCCCAAAAGATTTTTAAAAGCACAGGATTAAAAAGGAGAAATAATGCCAGAATACCTACCATTTATTGAGTACCCACACTGAGCTAGGTGCTTCCTCAGCATTAGCTCATTCAATTCTTCTGAGAAGCCTATGTGGCAGGTAGCATTATTACTCCCAGTTTACAAACAACGACACTGAAACTGCAGATGCTAAGTAACACACCCAAAGCTAACAAACTATGAAGCAGCTGACAAGCATTCAAACTCTGGAAATGTGGCTCGAGCCTACATTCCTAACCACCACTCTAAGCTATTTACTAGTGGCCTGCACTATTATTAATGTCAGTATCAACAGCAGCTAATATTTAGTGAGTGCTTACAGTGTGCCATGTGGCTTTCCAAGCTATTCACACATAATAACTTATCTTACTTTAATAAGAGAAGTAGAGATTGTAATAACTGCCATTTAACAAATGAGAAAACTGAGGTACAAACAGACTAAATAACTTGCTCAAGGTTATCGAGCTGGGATTTAAGCCCAGGCAGGTCTTCAGTACCACATTCTTCTACTTCTCTTCACCAAGGTAACCACTTTACATGCTAAACTTATTATGCCCATTTCATGGAAGAAACCATGACTCTAACCTGCCAATATCAAGTAGTCAGTTTGCCCAAGTTTGCCCAAGTCAAAGAGAGAGGGGCTATCTGACATCAGACAATACCAAGAGGTTTTGCGAATAAATCTCACCACAATGTTCCAAAAGTGGCAGCAGCTGCTCGGTCACTAGATGCCAGTGGTATTTTCTGTGGCACCAGGACTTGGGACCAACAATTTGCTTTAAAAATTCCAAGCTTTGCTTTAAAAATTCCCCATTCAATGCTGGGAGATGCCTACAAATTCCCTGATGCCCCTACCTGGTAATGGATGACATGCTGGACTTTAGGAATATCCAGGCCCCGAGCTGCCACATCTGTTGCCAGGAGAACACAACTGTGGTGGAGAGAGAAAGCTCATTAATAATAACTAATAGCTATCATTAATGAATTCTTACTACCTGCTTAGTACTGCAAACACTACAATCCTTACAAATACTCTACAACATACTACTATTATCTCCCATTTACAGATGAGGAAACTGAGACTCAGAGAGATTCACTTCCCAAGGTACATACATGGCTATTCAGCTGTGAAGCCAGGATCCAAACCTGGGTCTCAATGACCACAGTCAATAAGCCACACTCGGCAATAATAAAAGACCACCTCAAGTGAATTAAATGAGGCCACACACATTCTAGATCAGTGACCTCATCTATCACCCTCCCACTCACTTCCCTCCAGTCACACAGACATTCTTGCTCTCTCTGCTCTTCCTCAAACATGCCAAACGTGCTCTCGCCTCCAAGCCTTTGCACTTGCTACATCCTAGGCCTTAAAAGGTCTTCCTCAGCTATTCACATTTCCTTACTTCCTTCTGCTCTCTGCTCAAATCTCACCTTATCAGAGAAGCCTTCCTGACCACATGCCCACAGTCTGCACAACTCTACACAACTTTACTTCTCAGCACTTATCACCACATGACAAACTTTTCAATTTATTATCTCCCTCCACTGGAAGGTAAGCTCCATGAGAGCAAGGACTTTGCATTATTCACTATTCTATTACCAACCCCTAAAACAGCCCAACTCATAGTAAGCACTTGGTAGTATGTGTTGGGTGATGTTTCTTAATGTATGTGTAGTTTGAGGAAAGTCAAAAGCACTTGAGGTATGTCTTAAAAACTTAAGATTCTGGGCCCTCCAGGGTCCTCACTCTCTGTTTCTCTGAGGTAGGGCTTAGGATTGGGAATATGATGTAAACTCAAGTTCATAAAACATGAAACCACTGCTCTGAGTCAAGGTCAGCAAATTTTTTCTGTAAAGCGCCAGATAATAAATTATTTTTGGCTTTGCAGGTGATAGTCTCTGACCCGATTCAGTACACCACTACCTACCTACTAACATTCAAAGGTAAACCATTTATTACAGAAATTACTCACCCTGCAACCTGATAAAACACTATGGGCAAAAGGCAATTTAGAGCTGGCCTCAACTTCCCAGGCCCTCATCTTGACAATCTGCACCCTGCTGCTTGAGCATCAGTCCGGCCCAAAAGCAGACGGACAATGACAGCATGGCAGGACACAGCATGGGCTCCAGGATCTGCTTGTCTGAGGCCCAGCTCTGCCACTTCCAGGCTGAGAAATCTTGGGCAAGCTGATCAGCTTTTCTAAACCTCCCTTTTTAATCTATAAAATGTGAATAATGATAATAAAGATAAGTGGTAAGCATTAAAGCTAACATTTAGCAAGTACATACTAAGTGCCAGAGACTGTTCTAAACATAAATTCACTTAATCCTTGGAACAACCCTCTGAGGTAGCTTCTCCTATTACACCAACTATGAAGAACTGAAACACAGAGAAGTAATTTGACCAGCTAGAAGTGGCACAGCCAGGATTTGATCTCAGGCAGTCTGGTCCTAGTCTGTGCTCTTAACCAAGAATCTATTCTGCTTCTTCTCAAGATGTTAGAAGTGAAGGAATGTGATAATGTAACTAAAATGCTGGCATGGTACTTAATCTATTGTGAAGTGTTCACTAACGGTAGGTATTATTGTCACCGTTACTCACTATTAAGGAAGTTTCTGTTGGGCTTTACCAGCAACCAAATGTACTAAGATGATGGTGAGTCTGCCTCGTGCTGTGCAAAAAAAGGCTACCTTCTACTGATAAGGCCCCCGTGACACAAGGTAGCTTCCTACCAATCTCTCCACTACCCTGGGAACCTTGACCCAATGGCTAGGTGTTGGGCTTTGGGGCCAGGCGTGACTTACTCTTCCAGGCGGGCAAACTGCTCCAGGTTTCTGAGCCTCTGCTTCTGGTGCATGCAGGCATGCAGGGTCAGTGGCATGACATCCAGGACTTTGAGAAGCCCAGAGAGGCGTTTGATGCAAGAGATACTGTTGGCAAACACTAAGGTGCGGCCTGGATACTGCATCAGGAAGTAGTACAGATATAAGTCTTTCTCATCTGTCTCACAATGAATCTTGGTTTCTGTCAGTGTCTCCACCGTGGCCTCACTTCTTGTGAGGTCAATGACCTTGGGCTTGCCCCTCATGCCAATTTTCTGCATGAGGAGGTCAAGTTTGGCAGTTTTGTCAATTTTCTTAGTGTGCTTTTTGTGAAGGACTCGAGCAGGAGCTTGATGTACCAGGGTCAGTGTGGCAGAAAAAACAAGCGTCTGTCTCTTTGGGTTGTATTGAGAGTCACTGAGCATCTCCAGCAGTTGTGAGAGCTCAGCAAAGTGGCCTTTCTCAACCATCCGGTCAGCCTCATCGACCACCAGGCACCTGCAGATCCAGAGAGACCCACATATCCTGGTTAGTAGCAGGTAAGAGGAGTCATCTACAGCACACTTTACCCCCACCCCCACCCTCGATGCACAAATACACACCAGGACCTCAACTAATCTCCCTCATGCATGGTTTTCTTTTTGGTGAGAAAGAGTGGCCCTGAGCTAACATCTGTTGCCAATCTTCCTCTTTTTGCTTGAGGAAGATTGTCCCTGAACCAACATCTGTGCCAGTCTTTCTCAATTTTGTATGTGGGATGCCACCACAGCATGGCTTGATGAGCGGTGTGTAGGTCCGCACCCGGGATCCAAACTAGCGAACCCGGGGCTGCTGAAGTGGAGTGTGTGAACTTAACCACTACGTCACCAGTCCAGACCCCATGCTGGGTTTTCTAAAGGCCAAGGTCTGGCTGGTACCACACCATGGCACTTTGTGTCAGGGAGAAGGCAGTGCACACACTCCCATGTCACCTCAGGCCCACTTCAGAAGAGAGGGTGAGGGTGAGGGGAGAGCTCCCCTTTCTCACCTGAGCTGCCGAAGGTTGCTCAAATGAGGGTGCTTTTCTTTAACTAGTTCCCACAGCCGGCCAGGAGTGGCGATCACAATCTCAGGCTGGCGGTTCAGCATCCTCTGCTGTTTCTGTGTGGACATTCCACCAACCAAAATAGCAGTTTTAATTCCTATGGTACACAAAACATACAGGATACTGTTAATCAGTCTGGCTGCTTATTTTCTTTCACTGCTGACACACCCCCAAATTAGCAGATGCAGTCAGTTACCAGCATAGCTCCCCTCTCCAGGGGGGAGCTAAAAGAGCTGGCCTGGCCCGACTGTTGGCGCCACTCCTAGAGGGCTCACCAAGTCTTCTATGATCTGGGCCTTGCCTACTCCCCCAACTTCATTTCTTTCTACTCCGTCCCCTTCAACCACAACAGAAGGGCTGGATCTGACCTCAGGCATGCTTACATCCAAAGCTCTGGAAAAACTGAGCAGTGGTGCACCACAATGCTGGGAATAATGTTATCTGCAGCTGTGAAAACACCACCCCTAGGAAACCCTGCTCACTGCCCTCAATTAGAATGAATCTGAATCTCCTCTAATGCTGTGTTCTGTTCTCCTCTATCGTGGAGGACTTCTCAAGGTATCCAGTATGGAAGGAACATACAGGATCTTGCAGGCAAAGTGCTTAGCAATGTTTCTTGCATATACTAAGAGCCTGGTAAGTAACTGGTGCTTTTATTATAAAATTAAAATTCCCACTGTGCAGCCCTTACCAAAAGGAATTCCCTGAGAGACTTAAGTTCTAATGCCCTAAGGCAGAGGTCAGCAAACTTTTTCTTAAAGGGTGGATAGCAAACATTCTTGGCCTTGTGGGGTAAATGGTCTCTGTTACAACTACTAACTCTACTCCACTCTGCCTTGGTAGTGAAAAAGCAGCCACAGACAATATGTCAACAAAAAGGTGTGGCCACCTATTTACAAAAACAGGTAGTTTGCTAGCCCCTACCCTAAGCATCCATTGTAACCAATAAGTTAACTTATCTCCTATCCATCTAGAATGGCATTAGCTATGTGTCATTGGGAGAATTGAGAAAGTGTCACTCAAATAATTTTCTGTATGGCTTAATTCTCTGGCAGATGACAAAGGTTTCCCCCAGAGGGCAGGAGCCACAGCTCCTTCACTTTTGCCACCCCAGCATCCAGGATCCTGTCAGGAAACATTTATTAAATGGAACCTAACCCTCACCAGTAAACTTGGCCACAGCATCAATATGTTGTTTGACCTGGACGGCTAGCTCTCGAGTGGGAGTCAGAACCAGTCCAAGCAGAGGATGCTTTGGATGTGCATTACACGTGGCAATTTTGCCACCCAACTCTTGTTTTAACTTTCCAGTCTGCTCTTCACCAACTTTGTCCTCTTTGTCTTCATCCCATTCGGGGACAGGCTTCTCTCTGATCAGGGAAGAAGGTCCTTCCCCAGCATCATCATCACAGAGGGGCAGCACCTGGTCTGGGATGGTAGCTCCAGTGTTGGCTCTAGCCTTCGCTCCAGCCTCACTGGGCAGCGCTTCACTCTCAATTCCAATCTCATCAGGCAAAGCTCCAGACTCAGTTCCACCACCGTTTGGTGATCTAGTCTCGGCTCCAGCCTCGGTTCTGGTCTCGCCAGATGGCGGTCCTGTGTTACTTAGAGCTGGGGTAGGCTGTTTCTTCACCTGCCACTGCAGCACTGAATGAATCATGGGAATGGCAAAGGCAAGAGTTTTCCCACTTCCTTAGAAGTAAAACAAAACAAACAAACAAAACAGTGTGAATCAACAGATGCACACACTTTTTACACAGAATAAGAACCCTGAAATAGTCAGGTATCACTCTGACCAACCCAAAGCTTGTCCACCCTGCACAGGTTCCCCTACAGCACTGCAACCAGAGGACACCTATAATTAGGAGCCAGAGGAGAAGTCTGGCAGACTGGCATTGAGGCCTGAGGTCACCAATAATGAACTACAGACAAATGTCCAACCAATGAAATCCTAAGAGATGGGCAAGTTTGTTGTGTATTTTGTTGTCGTTGTGAAGGAGCAACAACACATTGGTGGGTGGGGAAAGAAAATCTATATAATACTTTCCCAAGACCTTTCTTTGGTGGGGAAGGAGGGAGTAAAAAAAAATTTTCTTAGTTTTTGGGAAAATTTTAAAATAGCACACTTTTGTCTATGTGTGAATATTTTCAAACTGGCCTTTGAATGTATATGGAGCCCAAATTCACGTCATCTAAGTGGTCAAAACAAACAAAACAAAACACCTCAAGCTGAGAATTTAAAGTAGTTCTCAAGTTATAATTCCCCAAACAAAAGCAAATAAATGATCTCTGGAGGAAGAACCTTTATCATAGGCCTCAAAGAATTCTCACAAATAATTTTCGAAGGAAAATGAGCAGCTAGCTCTCAGTAAAAAATAACCCACAAGGAAACAAAGTACTGTAAGAGAAAAAGAGTGAAAACAGACCCATAAAACTTCAGCTAAGAAAAACAGCACTTTTCATCAGAAACAACGAAAGCTAGAAGACAGTGTAACATCTTTATTTGAAGACACGAAAAAGAAATCTGACAATCTAGAACTCTACACTCAGCAAAAATCTCTTTCAAAACAAATGCAAAATACTTTTTTAGGCATATAAAAGCTGAAATAATTTATCATCAGCAGACCTGGACTACAAGAAATATTAAAGGAAGTCTTTCTAGAAGAAAATATGATATTGGATGAAAATCTGGATCTACACAAAGGCATGAAGAGTACCAGAAATGGTAATATGGGTAAATATAAAAAAAAGTCTTTTTCTTATTTAAACTTTTTTAAAAAACAATTGATCATTTAAAGCAAAAATAATAAAAATGTGTTTTGGGATTTCTACCAAATATAAAGTATAAAACAAAAAGCACAAACCAAGAGGAAAAATGGAAATACACTCTTGTAAGGTTCTTGTACTACAGCAGTCCTCCCTTATCCGTGGGGGATTTGTTCCAAGACCACCAGTGGATGCCTGAAACTGTGGATACTACCGAACCCTATACATACTATGTTTTTTCCTATACATACAATACCTATGATAAAGTTTAATTTAGAAATTAGGCACAGTCAGAGATTAAAGGCACTTTAGGGCTATTATTAAGTAAAATTAGGGTTACTTGATACAAGCACTGTGATACCATGACAGCAGATCTGTTAACCAAAAAGGCTACTAAGCCACTAACGGGCAGGTAGCATATACGCTAGATATGAACACAAAGGGATGATTCACATCTCAGGCAGGACAGAGTGGGATGGCATGAGATTTCATCACACTACTTAGAATGGCACACAATTTAAAACTTGCAAACTGTTTATTTCTGGAATTTTCCACTTAATATTTTTGAACCAAGGTTGACTGTGGGTAACTGAAACCATGGAAAGCGAAAGTACAGATAAGGGGGGACTACTGTATATGTAAAGCAGTATATTATCATTTGAAGGTAGACTACGATATATTAAAGATACATACTATGAACCCAAAAGCAACCACTAAAAGGACATAATAGTTATAGCTAATAAGACAATAAAAGAGATAAAATGGTATCACAAAAAAATATTCAACCCAAAAGAAGGTAGAAGAGGAAAGAACAAAGAATAGCTGGGAGAAATAGGAAAACAAATAGCAAAATAACTGATTAAAACCCAACCAGGACCAACAATCACATTAAATGTAAATGACCTCAACACCACAATTTAAAGACAGAGATTGTCAGATTACATGGCAAGACCCAATTATATGCTCCCTACAAGAAAATAGGTCAAAAGTACAAGTATGGAAAAAGACACATCATGCTAACATTAATCAAAATAAAGCTGGAAAATCTACATTAATAGCAGACAAAGGAGATTTTAAAACAAAGAATACTTTAGGGATAAAGAGAGCCATTTCATAATGAAAAGGAGTGAATTCATTCAGAGGATATAACAGTTCTACACATTTATGCACCTAAGAACAGAGCTTCAAAATACACAAAACAAAAACTAATTGAAGTGTAAGTAGAAAACTATCACTCAAGAAAAAATAACACAAATATTTCTAATATATTAAAGCAATTGATTATGTAGTTAAAAACCATCCTACAAAGAAAAGCGCAGGCACAGACGAATTTTACCAAATATTTAAGGAAGAAAAAAATACTAATTCTATAAAAATCTTTCAGAAAATTGAAGAGAATGCTTCGAATATCATTCTGAGGCCTGCATTACTCTGATTCCAAACCAGTCAAAGACATTACAAGAAAAGAAAGCTACAAACCAATATCCCATGAACAGAAATTCAAAAATCATCAACAAAATTTTACCAGATCAAAATCTAACAATATATAAATGGAATAATACATTGTGACCAAGTTCAATTTATCCCAGGAATGTAAGTTTAGTATTTGAAAATCAATCAGTGTAAATTACTTTCATCAACAGACTAAAAATGAAAAATAACATATCTCAACATATGCAGAAAGTGTTGGAAAAAATCCAACAACCACTTCTGATAAAAACTTTCAGCAAATCAGAAACAGAAGAGAATTTTCTCAACCTGATAAAGGGCATCTACAAAAAATCTACAGCTAACATCATACTTAATGGTGAAAGACTGCATGTTTTCTCCCAAAGATCAGGAACAAAGCAATGATGCCCATGACACCAATTCAATTCAAAATTGTACTGGAAGTTTTAGCCAGTGCAATAAGACAAAAATAAAAGGCATCCAGACGGGACGACATAATCATCTTTATGGAAAATTCCACATAATCTTCAAGAAACTATTTGATGGTAACAAGTTGCGAGATAACAAGATCAATATACAAATCCATCATATTCTTATTTATTGGCAACAATCAGAAGTAGAAAATTTCACGTGACCATTTACAATAGCATCAAAACGTGAAATACTTAAGGATAAATCTAACAATAGATGGGCATACTCTGAAAACTACAAAGCATTGCTAACAAAAATTCAAGACCTAAAAAGAATCAGAGATAAACCACATTCATGGAATGGAAAATTCTACATTGTCCAGATGTCAATTGTCCTCAGTTTGTTCTATAATCCACTCAATCCCAATCCAAATACCAGATGGCTTTTTTGTAGAAATTGACAAGCTGACTTTATTATTCATATGGAAATGCAAAGGGCCTAGAATAGCCAAAATAACTTTTAAAAAGAACAAAGCTGGAGGACTTACACTACCTGATTTTAAGACTTATGCTAAAGCTACCATATCCAAGACAGTTAGGTATTAGTGTAAAGATAAACAAGTAGATCAACGGAAAAGAAAAGACTCCAGAAATAGACAAACAGACCCACACCTATATGGTCACTGATTTTCAAAGAAGATGCAAAGGCAATTCAGTGGAGAAAGGATAGTTTTTCAACAAATGGTGTTGGAGTAATTAGATATCCCTATGGGAAAAAAAACATAAGAACTTAGATCCATACTTCTCATCATAAACAAGGGTTAACCCAATAAGTATCACAGACTGAAATATAAAACCTAAAACTAGTAACACTTCTAGAAAAAAATCATAGGAGAAAATCTTTGTGATCTTGCGTTAGGCAAAGGGTTCTTAGATAAGCACATCTGAAAAAAGAAAAAGTGATAATCTGAACTTCATCAACATAAAAAACTCCTGCTCTGAAAGACTGTCAAGTGAATGAAAAGACAAGCCACAGACTGGGAGAAAAAAAAATGCAACTCAGATAGCTGAAAAAGGAGTGTATCTAGAATATACAATGAACTCCATTAATAGGAAAACAACCACTCAATTAAAAAATGGCTAAAGAACTGAACAGACACCACCAAAGATAATATGGATGAGAAACAGGCACTTGAAAAGATGCTCAACTAGTCACTAGGGAAATGCCAATTAAAGCTACAAGGAATTTTAACTCTAAATTTTAAGACTAAAATAAAGTTAAAAACTGACCATATCAAGCACTGGCAAAGACATGGACCCAGTCGAACTCTCCTAACCTGATGGGTATGTAAAATGGTATCATCACTTCGCAAAACTCCTGAAAAGTTACATTTACCTTAAGCCTTAACCACTGCACACTGAGGTATTTATTTACCAAAAAGAAATTAAAGCACACATCCATAGAATGACTGATACACCAATACTTATAATAGTTTTATTTGTAACAGCCAAAAACTAGAAAGAACAGAAATATCCATTAACAGATGGATAAACAAATTGTGCTATATCCATACATTGGAATACTACTCATCAATAAAAAGGAACGAACTATTGGTAACTGCAATAACATGGTTGAATTTCAAAGTATGCTGAGTAAAAGAGCAGACATCCCCCTCCTCAAAGTACATACTGTATGATTCCATTATATAAAATTCTGGAAAATGCAAACTAATCTATAGTGATAGAAAGCCTATCAAAGGTTGCCTGGGAATGAACGAGGAGGGGGGCCCAGTGAAGGAGGGATTACAAAGGGGCCCAAAGCATCTTTTGGGGATGACGGATATACCCATTGTCTGCATGGGCAACAGTCTGTCCACAGCCCCAAAAGTCTTTCTGAATCTAGGACCTGCAGATTTACGGCATTCCACGGTGGTAGCCTGAAAGGAGCTGTGGTATGAATCCAAAGGTCAGGCACTAGCCACAGCGGCTCAGACGACCTTGCCTCTGCCTTCCAGAAACCTACTTGAGGCCTCTGCACACACCCAAGCAGTGCAGCAGAACGATTAACAGCACACAGACCTACTCTAGAACCCAGGCACTGCTACTTACAGCCGTGCAGTTTCAAGGACGCTGACTACCCTGTGTGAGGATACTTTCCTCATCAGTAAGATGGGAATAATACATAATGCACTTAACACTGCACGACACATTTTAAATGCTAAGTAAATGTTCTAAGTTATTATTATTACCTCCATTCTCCTTTCCTGGGGTTTCTTTGCTCTTCCCTCTACATGACTCTTCTACAGGACCTCACCCCAAGTTTCCTGACCACCTTTCCAGAAACCCAAGGCACAAAGTGTCTAGATGGGGGCCGGCCCGGGGGCACAGTGGTTAAGTGCGCGCTCTGCTTTGGCGGCACGGGGTCCGCAGGTTCGGATCCCGGACGCACACCGACACACTGCTTGTCAGGCCATGCTGTGGCGGCGTCCCATATAAAGTGGAGGAAGATGGGCACGGATGTTAGCCCAGGGCCAGTCTTCCTCAGCAAAAAAGGGGAGGATTGGCAGATGTTAGCTCAGGGCTGATCTTCCTCACATACACACACACACACACACACACACAAACAAAGTGTTTAGATGGTCTAGTCCTATGCAATACAATATAGTAGCCACTAGCCACATATAGCTACTGAGCACTTAAAATGTGGTTACTCTAAATTGAGATGTGCTACAAGTTCAAAATATACATCAGATTTTGAAAACTTACTATAAAAATAAGAATGTAAAATATCTCAATAATTTTACATTAATTACCTGTTAAAATATTTTTTATATAATTTGTTAAATCAATATATTGTTAAAATTAATTTTCACCTGTTTTTTACCTTTTTTTAATATGGCTCCTAGGAAATTTAATTCTATCTATATATTCTACTGCTGGTCTAGTTGGACTATCAGTTCCAAGCAGTACAAGCTCCTCCCCCCAGTCAGCAGTTTGGTTTACCCAGGGTGAGTGAACCTGTCATCGCTTTACAAAGTCTTAGAAGGCCCAGGGAATGAGGGAACTTTAAACAATGCCTAGTCCCAACAGTCACCTCATGCCCAAATCTGCCTACAAAATCCACCCGACGATTCCCTACCACACACTCAAATCCTTCCAATGACAATGAACACACCAACTCCCAAAGCAGCCCTTTTTATCTTGGGACAACTCTTGAGAATTAGACACTTTTTCCTTATACTAATGGAGATCTACCTGTCCAGAGGGCTGATCTTAGCCTTACTTTACCCCTCTGAGACATTGAGAAAAGGCTCACTTACAACATATTGTGTAAACTTTAGTTTACTGTAGCATTTACATTTAACCCACATAGCAAAACTAGGTACTGCTATTATCTCCATTTTATAACGGACACCTTAGAGCTCAGAGAGAGAAAGTGACCTGCCTAGGGTACCAACCTGGAAGTGACAGATTTCAACCCAGAGCTAGCTAACTTCTAAACACCTTCATTCAACACCGCTTTTATGGTTATGTTCCCAACATTCTCCTCTTTCCCAGCCAGCCAGCCTGCTAGCAGCCACAGGCTCAATCCAGAAGCAATCTAGCCCTGGCCAGATAAGGATACCCCTACCTGTCTCAGCAGCCCCAAGGATGTCCAGTTTGTCACGGATGGCAGGTGCCAAGGTCAGAGCTTGGATTGGTGTAGGCGCAGAGAAGCCTAGGAAGCTGAGTGCTCGGAGAACTGGCTTGGGTACAAACAGGTCCTTCCAAGCTGATACGTCTGCCTTCTGGTCATGCATTTCAGGCATCCACGTCTTCGCTTTTTTGGGCAGCTTTGGAGTAGTACCTTGGGAAGGCTCCAAGTTTTTTTTCTCTTTCTTTTTCTTCTTTTTTGGAATAGTCTGGGCTGGGCTTTCTGACGCCATCTCCCCTACCTCTGGATCAGGACAAACTGCGCCATCTCCCTGGGCCTCTGGCTCAGCATCTTTGACCTTAAACTCTTTCTGGGTACTGGTTCCTTCCGTTTCCACATCTTTACTCTTCTTCAACTTCATCTTTTTCTTTGAGGAGCTAGACTCTCCCTCCTCCTCTCCTTCTGAAAGAGCTTGTGCCTTTCTCTTTTTGGGCTTCTCCTTCGAGAAGAGACTGGAAGAATTCTTGGCAGCAGAAACCAACCGGTAATCTGTCAGCTCCTCAAAGCACACCAAGTCATCCATCTGTCCGTCTGCAAACATATTTGGGTCAATTTTCACCTGCTTCCATGTTCCCACAACTTTGATTCCCTTTGTTTGAAATTTGCCATAGCTTGGCGGCTTTGGCCTTGATTTTTTCTCCTTCAACTTCATGGTTGCTGAAAAGAAAAGAAATGTTCCATTAGGTTGGCAAAAGAGAAGCACAGGGTTTTGAGGCAACAAATATCTTCCAAGCAGCCTAGAGAGTATCAGGCCCTGCAAACAAGCGAGGACACAAAGACGGCTCCAACACTGATGCTTCCAGCTAAAGAGGATCAAAGAGGGAAGGATAGACACCCACAGAGCAGGCAGCCTGGCCTGGAACAGAGCGGACGCAGGAGATGGAGCAAAGATACACGAGACAGAACTGGGGTGCACTACAGATCCAACACTTACTTCTTGTGTGCCCCTGGACAGTCCCGCTGAAAGCTCTCCAACCTCAGCGTTCTCATCTTCTAAAAAGGGGGAGGGGCCTAATAATATCTAAGTCACAAAAATGTTTTGTGCAAATAAAGAAAATTATGTAAAGCCTGTCGCACCCAAGCCATTCTGAAGGCAGAATAAGAATCCGGGATTTTTTTGGGCGGTGGGGGCCTGAGGGGGCCAGCTTTATTAAAAGTGCACACAGCTTCCCTCCTTCTCAAGCCTCGCCCCAAGAGGGCAAATGCCCGTCCCACCATCCTGACCTGTGCAACATGGCTTAAAACCCGCCCAGCTTTTCATTACGTTTTAAGTGATTTGAAAACCATTTAAGCAAAAACTGAGTGGTCCGCGATCCATGTTCTCCCTCTGCAGAAAGGCCTAGAAAATAAGAGATCCTGGGGAAAAGATAGAGGTAAACCCTGGTTCAAATCCGGACCCCTGGTGGCCAGCTCCGGGTCGGCGGTGGATATATTAATCCCTGTGACCCTCGGTTTCCCCGTGTGTGAAATGGGGGTGACTTTGAGGCTGTGTGTCTCACTGGATCGTTACGCGGATACCCAAAGGTGACGCAGGTCCCAAACCGCTTAGATGGCGCCTCCCGAGGTGAGCACCTCAGACGCGGGAAGGTTCGCCCACCGCCCCGGCTGCGCCACGACCACCAACAACCGGGCTCAACCCTGAGAGGGGCGGTAGTCGGGCACACGGGGGCCAGGACGCGGAGCGCGGCCTGAGGAGCGAGCGGGTCCCTCCTCGTGGCGCCCGCCCGCGACCGGCGCTCGGCCCCGTCTCAGGCCCGAACGCGCGCACGAAGCGGAGAAGCCGAGGCCGCCGGGCTCCGACGAACACAGAAGGGGCCCCGGCGCGGGCCCGCGCAAACTGCCTGACTGGGCCGGGGGCCGCCCTCTCCGGACCGAGAACTGGGCGCCCTGCAGAGGCCCGCGATGGGAGCCCGGGAGCCCCCCCGCCTCCAGCTCCGGGACTCACCGCGTGGAGACGCCGGCCAGCCGCCTCAGAAACCTCCGCAGCAACCCCTCAGCTGCAGCGCTGCCCGCAGTTCCGGGGCGGGGCTTGCACTCACGCACGCGTGTGCGCTGCAGAAGGAAGTCCCGCCCCCACCCTAGACTCCGCGACCTGATTCGCTGCCGCGCGGGATCACGGAGAGCCGCGGTGCGGGGGCGGAGTGCGCGGAGGGGTGGTGGGCGGGGCTTGGTCGCGCGGCGCTCCTCCCCGGTTTAGGGCGCAGACGGAACCCTGGAAGCGCGCTGCGTCCAGCCTGGGAGGCTCTGCGCCGGCTCACGGACGGGAACGCGAGTTTTCTTGTCTTCTTTGTAAGTTTTTAGTGCAGTGCTTGTCCGCTTATTGAGTACCTACTGTGTGTCTGAAGCCTTGCAAACATTTTAGCGTTTCATTTACAACCTGCACCTGTTTGGAGGTGCTATTTTCCCCGGTGTTTTTATGCTTGGCCTGTTCACTGATGGTTGGGGTAGGTCGGCCTGACTCCAGACCCCACGCTTTAATCAAGCTAAACTGGCTTCTTTGATGCGTGCAGAGAAATCAGCTTCACAATAGATAATCACTTTTTCCATGTGGGTATCACCTGACCATCTGGGACACCTTTCCCATATGCTGTCTCTGTGTCTGGTGACCGTGGGAAGTGCTAAAGGACAATGGCGGGATTCACCAAGCTGAGGTCAAGTGAGCGTCCCCACTCTCCGTGGAGCCACCATGGGACAGAGCTTAACTCATATCTTGGGGGAACTTGCCAGTGTGTCACCAAGAGTCTGGGTGGCATAAAGCCTGTGCCCAAGTGTACGTGACAGGAGACTGGAGCTGTCCCTGATGACAGAGTGAGGAGGAAGGCTGCATATCCCTCCGTGGCGGGACAAAGGTTCCTGTCTCTTCTGGGGGGGTTACACACCTTCGAGGGTTGCAGGGTTGGTGTGTGGCTGCATGCCCAGTTGGGTGAGCAGTGTAGGATAGGTTGTGGAGAGACCAAAGAAAAGACCCGGAGATGGCAAACCAGACATAGAGGTTTATTGGGAGTTACTTACAGGGAGGTCCGGTGGTGGCCAACCGGACAGGAACGTGCACCCGCCACCGCGGGCGGGGAGGGGGTTGCTTATATAGGCAGGGGACACAAAGGCTATATGCTTGCAAAGGGGTTGTCCCTGGTATGATCAGCGTTCCCAGGAACAGTAGCTCACGTGGAGGGGCTCTGTGCCTCTTTAAGACGGGGTGTTCTTTAAGTGAGATAAGGTAAGATTAAGTGAGATAAGGTAAGATCCGGGGCTGCACAGGCCCTGGATTGTTACAGATCCCAGCAGCTGGGCGTCCTGCCCAGAAGGAGCCAGAAGGACACATGGTTGCAATGGGCTTGTGGGCTCTTGCTGAGCAAGCAAGGCCCAGGCCCTGCAGTTGTCTTGACAGAACCTCTCCTACGGGGGCTGTTTAGTGGGAAAAGGGACCTCACTAGAGAGAGGCTGGAAGTAGGGCCCCTGAAGTGGGACTTGGGGACCATCTTGAGGGGTCAAAATGGTGCACGGTGGAGATTCTCAGTAGAGGTCTCTGAAAAACTGACAAAAGCATCTTTATTAGTCAGGGTTCTCCAGAGAAATAGAACCAACAGGGTATGTACATAATGTGAGCACATGGCCAGAATTGCTCCCAGGGTCTTGGAAGGAGCCGGTACAAGCAAGGGTCCCTTAACTCAGGCTTCTTTCGCTTCGTGGTAGACCTGCCTTTGCCTCTATCATCAGTGGCTACATAGGATTCTAGTATGTGGAGGTATAAAACTTTGTGTACTCGATTTCCTGTTGATTCAAACTTGTTGTCATTAGAAACACCATGATAATCATTCACGTGCTGTTTTTGTGCACTTTTGATTCTTTCCTTACAATGAATTCCAAGAAGCAAAATTTCTGAGTCAAATGGAATGAAAGCTTTTACTGCATGTTTCTGTGTCACTGACCAGAAAGTATGTGTCAGAACACACTCCCCCCAGCAGGATATAGGAGTCACCTTTCCTCATCATGCAAATACTGGGTGTTTTTGGGTTATTTACTTCCTGGAGTAGATACTGAGTGATACTCACTCAGCTCTGTTTCATCGCCTGCTGTGAACCCTCCACAATAGAGAGCTAATGACCTCATTCCCCAGAGTCTCTCATAGCACCCGTTCTGCAAATGACCTGGATTGTGCCAAGCAGACCTCCCGTCCCAGAACTGGAAGGTGCGGGACTTGGTTTTCAGCAGCAACAGTAGACAGTCCCAAGATCCAGTTCTTACCTTATCGAGATGCATCATTTTACTGGCATAGGTGACATCCGAGGCAGTTCAGTCTCAGAGCCAACAAGTGGGATAGTGGCTTCCTGATACCCCAGTTTCTTGACCATGGCAGTGGTCACTGCATCGTTGGGGGCCCAGTTCTTCAGTGTCATTTTTTTTTTGTGAGGCAGATCAGCTCTGAGCTAACATCCGTGCCAAGCCTCCTCTTTTTGCTGAGGAAGACTGGTCCTGGGCTAACATCCGTGCCCATCTTCCTCCACTTTGTGTGGGACACCGCCACAGCATGGCTTGCCAAGCGGTGCGTTAGTGCGTGACCAGGATCTGAACCCGGGCCGCCAGCAGCCGAGCGCGCGCACTCAACCACTACGGCCACGGGGCCAACTCCTTCAGTGTCATTCTGAGGAGAGTGTCATTCCTGGAACCTCAGCCTAGAACTTCCTCCTCCAATCCTGGAACAATTTTGTAGGCACCTAATTCCCTGTGTTAAAACCCATTCTGCTTAAGTTAGCTGGAGTGATTTCTGTTACCTGCGGCCAAACCCTGGCTGATAGATGTGTCACACGCGCGTGCGTGCACAGACATACAATATCTCCTTTAAAAAATTATTTTCCTATTAACGAGATTGAACATCTTTTCAAATATTTATTGGCCACATGTAATTCTCTCTTTAGGAACTACCTCTTTTAGTCTTAGCATTCCTTTTTAAAGACAGTTCTTTTCAAAAATTTTTCCATAAGAAGTCTCTTTACATTGGGGATACTAATGGTGAGACTGTTTTGGGTTTTTCTCCCCCAGTAGATCACTTGTCTCTTAACTTTGTACATGGTGTTTTTAATGTCACACGTGGTCTGATGGTATCATTCTTTTCTGTCCCACAAGTTGTCTTTCTAGCTGTCTTCTAGTGACAGGAAATTCAGAGAATGTCTCTGTTTCTCCGGGTGGGGGATGTCCTTGCAGCCTCGAGTTCTGCTGGGAAGGAGAGCGGATACCAACTGATACGGAGGAGGGGCTCCTGCAACCCGGCTCTGAAAACCTCCCCCCTGCTTGTGCCAGGGACAGTGCTCAGGCAGGAGCCCAGAGAAGCTGGAGCAGGGGAGGCTGAACTGGTTGGGTTGTTGTTCCAAAGCTAAACGAAGCTGGGGGCTGGGGGACGGGCGGGGCTGTGGGCTGGCCACCTCATCTCCTCGTCTCGCGTGAGAGGCAAAGCCTCATTGCTCAGGCCGTTCAAGGATATCCCAAGCAGAGGCCCCTCCCGCCCTTGATTCTGCCCCTTCTTTCGTTTCCTGCCCCTCCTTTCTTCCCCAACTTCACCCTGCGATTCTCACTTTCCTCTCTCCTCCTTATTCTTTCTTTCATTCAAAACATATTTACTCAGTACTGAGTACTGACCCAAGAGAAAAAGACAGACCAATCTATACTTTCATGAGA